GAGGCCTGAGTAATTACCTATACCATTCTGGGGGTTCCTTAAAATAACTGTAGTATAAAATACCCCCCCCCCCCAAACCCTATTCGAATTATTAAGGCGCCCATTATTACACGGGTGTTCGACCTGGAGTTGCTTTGCAATTTCAGAAGGGCCTGTTTTTTTTGGGGGGTCTTTGCTGTGCATCTCGGGCTCCCAATTCCAATCCTTAAGCGCCTGAAGTTAATCTTCTATCACACGCACAACTCGAGAAGTGTACCAAGCCAAGAATCCTCTATCGCACAATATTTCGTAGGCTTCCACTGGGTCCTTGTAGGCTACACATTTACATGTTTGTTACAATAGAACCCAATAAGGATTTGAAATGATCTTTTTCAGTATAGCCCCAACAGCGAACCAGTCTACACTCCCTATTTTCTGGAACCCATAGAGTCACCCTTAGATGAGCCTTTGATGGAGCCCTGAAAGAACCCTCCTCCAATGACTGAGCCCTTAGAGTAACCCTTACAGGAACCCTTTCAGGAGCCTCCCTTGGAGTCGCCCTTATGGGTTTGTGGATTCCTTATTATAATTATGGTATAGTATACCCCAAAACCCTATTCTAGTTATTATGTAAGGCCCCTACATTCATCCAATTACTCAGCATCAATCTGCGAGATTAGCCCAGGTGCGTCGGTGCTGCGCTCAAGGGTGAAGCCGTCGAGCTTCAGTCGCCTGGATGCTGAGTAGTAGAGTAGGTAACGTATAGCTTTGTGGGGATTATTGCAATTGTAAACCGAAAGGTTCAAACAAGGATTCGGAGTCTCCAGTATTCCCTACTTCAGAGGTAAAGTCGACAGAAAGACAAAAAGTTTCTACTTTGGGCTGTTTGGAGCCTAAGGGATGCGACACGAGGGAAAGGGTCATAAATGGTTCTGTAGGGTTCTTGTTTTGTATTGCCTCGGCTTCGATGGGGGTATTTGAGAGAGCAGGGTTTCGGGGTTTCGAGTTTGCGGCTCAGGGTTCAGGATTTGGGGTGTTTAGGGCTTGGGGTTTTGGGGGTTTGGGGGTTCGGCATTTGGTGTTCAGGGTTGAGGGATTCCCAAACTCGAGGTTCTGAAGCACGCAGGGTGCCGTCTAAGCTTTGTGCCTTCTGGACTGTGGGGCCGCCTGTAGCCACCTGAAGACTTGCGAGATAAACCAGAGTCAGAACCTTCCTGGCCTTACCCTCACGGGCTCATGTGGGAGTTTCCGAAAATTAGGATACCTTCTTTTGGGGTCCTTATAGTAAGGTTCCTACTATATTGGGTACTATATCAGGGTCCCCTAATTTTCGGAAACCCCCATGTGTCAAACGTTGGCCCCAAGAGCCATACTGCAAAGGCTTTAGGAGTAAACAAGCCTTCCGCCAAACTAAGTCATGGCTACAAACCGCGAATCGACAATCGCTTTGTGCCTTGGAAGCCGTGAGGTCCTGTAACGGTTTAGCAGGGGTTTTGAGGGTTTAGGGCACAGGGATCTGTTCGGTTGATTAGGGTTTGCGATTAAAGGTACGGGGCTTACATAGCTGGGCTCATTTGATGCTTGTGGGGCTTACTGATGGTCTATTGGCATGAGGGATGACTGGTTCAGGTAGTGACTTAGTCGGTGAAAGTTTCGGGGTGTGGCAGTGTGTGATGTTGTAGCATGTATTGTGAAGGATTTCCTAGCCAAAACTCTGCATCGCAAAAAGCTTCGGCTTTTCGGGTTAAGGCTTTAGGAGTCTTATCTGGGTTGGTCCGATTCCTCCTTAAAGCAACACTCCGTTAATCGGATGCTAGGCCCCTGCTTTTGCCTGCACTAGTCCGCTCCATAGCTGCCATGGTCCGGGCGAAACTAGGGTATAGAGGCTGCGCAGTTTAATTCCAGTTTAGGATTTAGTCTCTACGGGAGTGGGTTTAGGAGTTTAGGGCTGAACTTAGTTGATGCTCCAAGTTAAAGCATAGTCGCATAACCCTCCATTCCCAATACGCAGTAGCTGAGCAGGTAACCTTGGACGGTTTGGGATTTATACTATATGTTAGCCTGTAGCTAAGACTTCAGCAACTTAAAATCTTGAAGCATAGGGCATAGGGATTTCAAGAAGAGACGTGATATGGAGGGTAGAGAAAGACAAAAGCCCTACTCCCAGCCTTCAGCCGTTGAAATAATTACGGTTAGTTAAACGGATTCAACGATCCGTTATTCAATTGTGGTGTGCTTCATGGTCCTCTCGAAAGGGTGCTGCGGTAGACAACTGCAAATTTCACGGAACGCGTTGCCAACCGCTCCTGGCCCTAAACCCAAAGGTCCTGATAAGGGTTCAAGATTCACAAGGCAGGTGCCGAATCTGTAGTCCAAACCGATGCCACTACGCCCGAAGCACTCAATCCGACGTGGACTCTCGAATGAGGGTCCTTCCGGGCTGGCACAGTGGCTACCCTAACGAGTCACGACAGACCCCCGGAAGCTCAACACTCTAAACCCCGAGAATAACCCCCGAAGCATGATAAGCTGACACCCCAGTTCGTTTTAGCTCGAAGGGGCTGCCAAATCCCAAGACCCGCTGAGCAGCGCAGGTCTCCAGCGCCTTTGACATGTTCCAGCAGAGCAAGTCCAATATAGAGCTTCGGCATCAAATTCCGGTTTCGGCTTGGAGATTCAGGGCTGGAGATTCCCCTAACTACAGGAAATAACTTTAGATTTGAGCTTATGGGTTGATTTCTCTCGGGTTACGGAGACACTAAACCGCGTAAGCATTAAACCTAGCCTACTCCATTTCCATGTTTCAGCTTCCTCAGGTAACCTTGAACTCTTTGGTGCTTGTATAACCCTAGATTGGTGTCAAGACAGCGCAGGCTTAGGTGGGGGGGATAAACAGCCCCTACTAGCAAGAATCCCGAAGTGGCTACCTGCCGCGGGAAGGGTCCGCCTCGAGAGCCCCAGAAGCAGAATGTAGACCGCTGATGAGACAAAGCCCTTTCTTTGAGGACCTGACTGTTCGGATGGAACGGGGGGTTATTAGGGCCTACATTATTCTACACTTGTTTCTCGATTCTGCGGTCCTGGGCCATCGGCATTCAGGGACTAAAATGTTGGTGTCAACAGCATAGCTCGTCCACTGGTTTAGATAAACTTCCCGGTTGAGCTTGTCCGGTCTTTCTGGCTATTCTTGTGATTATCAGCGGTGTTGACTACTCAGATACCCCGAAAATCAGGCAAAAACAGGAGTGTTCCTTAAGAGGGCAGCTTTGCCTGAAGAATGCTTTGCAAAGCCCGAAGTCGGTACAAAGACCGTATTCCAGCCCTCCACAGACTTTGCATCAAACCGTTTCTTCCGCGTACTGGACAGTGCTGGTGTGCTGACGTATTCCTCGCAAAGGAGAATCGACTGAACACTTTGACGAGCATGGCGAGTTTGTGCCCGGCCTGACTTGGGTTCATGATTTCACTTGGGTTCAGGGAGTTGTGATCTCAGCATGTTACAGAGTTGTTTTCTTCTCCAACTTCCAGCGTTGAAGCATTTCAGGCTCTCAGAATTCAGGGCGAGTCGCCTTCCTGTGAAACGTTTGACAGTCTATCCCGCGCGCATGGGGGAAGTACGTCAAGGGCTTGCGAGTTGAGGGGTTCTTGGGGATTCGCTCAATACCTGCTGGTGGGCATTGATATGCGGAAGCGCAGCCGCGTTGCATCCACGACACCTGAGGTGTAGGGCTCAAGAGGCTCCAATATCCCTTCATCCCTGGATTATGAAGGATCTCCAGAGCGTTTTTGCTATTTACGGACCCTGAACCCTTGCAGCATCGAGATGGTGCATAGCATTGCTGATGGAATAGTTCTTGATTTCTTTGTGCGGAGAAGCGTCGATCCTCGTGAAGCGATAGAAACCCTGCCGGTGAGGTTGGACACGGACGACGACATGTGGGGCGAAGAGAGCTTTGGCCGATAGCAAGTTTGTGTGCAGACGCCTCCGAAAGGGTCAGGGACAGGAAGTGACAAATTCAGATCTCAAGTGCGATTGGTACCGATGGTAGTAGTGGGGTACTACTATTGCCGCCACTCTCGCTTTTATGCCACATGTCACTATTCGCACGTGTACTTTTGGAATGATATCCCATTGGCACAGTATCGTCTGCAATACATACTGTCTTTCTAGAAATCCTGCCAATCCTTTTCAAATTGTTCCGAACGCTACATTCATAGCACTGGTGTGTGTGTGTGTGTCTCCTCATTGCCAAGTAACGTGTACCTGAACATGACCATGGACGACGACCTCGGGGGCGCGCCGGACGACAAGCCCCTGGACCGGCAATCACCCTAAACCCCAAACCCAAACCCTAAACCCTAGTATCAGTATAGGGCTAAATCTTAAACCCTTATAAACCCTATAAACCCTGAACCCTAAAGGGAAAGCCCTTGTATAGGGTTTACACGTTTATTGGTTTAGGGTTCGGCCAGGAAGTCGATGAGCTGTCGCCTTGTGGCCATTTCGGGGTCCCCCAAAGCTGTTTTGAACCCGAGACAGCAAAAATTTCGACCCCGGTTCCCCAGAACACTCTCATCCGCAATGCACAAGATTCTGCCGCGGGCCTTTCGAGAGTTTTTCCAGGGTTTTGCATCGTTGGAGGCCTTTTCTGCAATATCCGTCTCCTTTACGCTCTCGCCTGCTGGCTACGAAGCACAAGCAGTTGAGCTATATGCCTGAAATCGTTGTAAAGACATGACGATCCGTTTTATGATTACGGGCTACTCCTTTCAAGAGGGGTACTGGGCGACTGCTTAAGGTAAAGCCATGGTTCCAATAGGAGAGACTCTTTGACCTTTTAGTGAGCGGTGGCAGGAGGGTTTACGGATGGTTAGTTGTAGGGTCTCGCTATAGTCTTCAACTTGCGACAAAGAGCAAAGAAGACTACCCCTTTGCATGCTTCACTAGAGCTTTGCGCGGCATAATGCCAAACCCTGAATTTAAACCGACTGCCTCCTCGAAACTACGGAAGCCGTGCCAGGCTGTGTACCGGCAAACCATTGGAGGACCGATCCGAACCCTCAATGCCGGCCTTATACATTCAGATGAGGGTTTTGCTGATCAGCAACAAAAGTAAGTTATGGTAGCTGAAGGTAACTTCTGCACAATTCTTCTCACAGTGTTTGAACACTACGAGAGGGCATCGGTTGCAACAGAAGGAGCAGCTCTGAACGAAACCCTGAATGCAAAACCTTCAACTGCCTTTTCAGCCTAGCCCCTGGTATCAAGTGCTTTAAGGCTTTGGGCTCTTATAGGTACTGTAGTTCTCTAAACCCTCAAGGAAAGCCCAAGACGCAATACCATCATCCCGGAGCCTGAAGCCCTCAGCCGTAGCATTGTTTAGGTTCTGTCTGGGATTCCTTTGGGGGCCGCGCTAGAAACTTAATGGTTAGCGACAGGATACTGTAAGGGCTCCATTTGAAGAATCTGTATAGGTATAGTACAGGAATAGACGGGACTAGGTTCGGAATAATGAGGTCTTCTCTTTTCGGGGTGTGTCGGGATGTTCCGGGTTTGGGCTTCTGCGGCTGGCAGGTTTTGGGTTCAGCCTTAGGCCGAGGGTATCCGGGACTCTCGTCTTCTCGTTTTAAAAACGCCCACCCACACCCCCCCCCCCCATACGCTAATTCCTTCACAGAAGGCGACAAAATCTCATGAGGAACCAATCTCGATAAACCTTTCTCCTTAAACCCCTATAGAAGCCATGAAAACTATACACCCAATACTTGAAGCAACTTCACCTGTACCACCCAGCTTTGTCGGTTCGTCCTAACCGTGCGGGAGGGGAACAAGAAAAATCCATGAGCCACCTTTAGTGCCAGAAGCCCTAAACCCTAAACCCTAAACCCTAAACCCTAAACCACCGGTTCGAGAGCCTGCAGGAAGCCAAGGAGAAGTGTGCGGTATTAAAGAAGGAAGAGACGGAAGACGCTGGTCGCCCTTTATGGTTGATAGTGGGGTCGGAGTTCTTAGTGCCAATATCCCCTGTTGCTCCTTGTTAAAAAAAAATCCTAGTAAGCATTCCCAAAATCTACTGTTATAAGTTTGCCTTCCTCTAAAAATATCCCTTCTCGTAACCCCTACATAGAACACTTTAGAAGGAACCCTTATAGAAATCCTGCTGTGATCATCGAAAGAAAGGCGGTTTGCAGGGAAGTTCGGGCTGCTTACCTGGAGCTGTTGCCGGTTGGGTTTTACGAGGGTTTCAGGCACGGGCTCACGAAATACTCATCTCATGCTCGGTCAGGGTTTGGGGTCGTGTTTGCTACAGGCGCTTGAAGTTTCTAGGGCCGTCTGAGAAAAGATAAGTGTTGTTGTTTTGTTGATGCGGTTTACAGTGTCAAGGCTCAGGACTTGGAGTGTGTGGGTTTCGAGATTAAGCTTGTTTGATGCAAAAGTTGACTCGAACCCCTAGACCCCGACATGCACTGAAGCGTAAGCCCAAACCCCATAAACGCCCAACGCCGCAGACCACAGCCTAAGCCCAAGACGTCAGGTCTGCAAAGGAGAGAAGAACACGGATACATCAATACATGCGAATATAAAATTCATCCATGCAGTCGTGCATGCATACATGAATCCATGTGTGGCCATGCATTCCTGCATTCATGCATGCATACATAAATTCATGTATCCATGCATTCATGCATATGTACATACATACATACATACATGCATGCATACATAAAGTGTTGTAACCTTGCGTTCGTGCATATCTACATGCATTCATACATGCAGGCATGCATACATACGTACATGCATGTGCACACAAAAACACACACATACATGCCTGCATGCATAAATGCATAAATACATACATACGTACGTATATACGTACATTGTACATACATACATGCAGACAGACAGACAGACAGACAGACAGACAGACAGACAGACAGACAGACAGACCGACGGACAGAGACAGATACAGACAGACAGACACGCACATACATGACGAAGGTATTTACATACATATGTGTATATGTATATATATATATATACATATACATACACATGCATCTGTTGGTACATCGTGCAGGTATGTATAGGTACGCATGTATGTACACACACACACAAAGAGTGCCGGGCTCCAAGGAAGAGAAGGAGGAGATCGAGGAAGACGAGGAAGCGAAGGAGCAGCAGGCGAGCCACTACTGGGGCCTAAATAATTACCAATAGTTTTGTTGTTTTTTTTTTTTTTGGGGGGG